TTAACATTGCCACAAGTGAGGACACACAGCTCTTTCCCAAACGAAGCATTCTACCTATTGAGAGCTATTTATAGCCTACGGGGGTGGTGGAGGAACACCATATAGTCCATCAACATAAATTAAATATCCACACCACTCTCGTGGCCACCTCTGAAGTAACTGTTTTCGACAGCAAAGTGCTGGGAATTCGTGACGCCCAATAGTCAATATTTGGCGAGGCTCGCATGTTTCTGAAAACTCTGCTACATACAAACCCCTGTTTATCATCCTCTAGCTGCACAATTGTCATACATAGTACTTCCCAGTGACGATGAGAACACAGGGCACCTTATAAGTTGCTGAAATCTGAGCCCCTGCTTGTTTTCTCAAGTCCTGGACAAACATAACTTTAGAGAGAGCAGAGCATAGGCAGAAAGAAAGAGGGGCCAGCATTTTCATCTTCTTTCATCTCAGTCATTCAGTCAGCCATTCAGAACCCTATTCAACAGAGCTTTTCATTATGCAAAAAAATGCTAATCCTTTTCCGATGCTTTCACACTTGTATAAACCCCCATTCCTTCAACTGAAAAGCAATTATATCAGTTTACCTTTCTGTCAAAAACAGGATTAATATTCCAATAACAGAATCTCCTTTCTTTTCCTATCTTTTTGCTTTAGGAAACTAGAGATTATGAGTAGAGGCATTCTTAGGACAAGAATACGTTATTTTAAATATGACTGTGTTAACCAATGAATGGAGAAAAGGAGAATGATCGGAAGAAGAAAAAGTCCCCCAGCATACTGCAGAAACTCTTTTCTGTGACAGAACTGACCTTCCCTTTGCAGATGCCCAAAGAGACTGAGACTCACTCTGGTCTATTAATCAGAAACAAATTATGAAAGAATGTAGCTGGACTGGTTGACACTATCCTGTCTTGGGAGACTCAGTAACAGCCTGGTAACAATGTCCTCTTCATGGGTAATGAACAGCCATGACAAATGGGGCAGAGAAACTATTTATTTGCATATGCAAATTCTCACACAAGGGAAACATGTACAAACAAGTGTCATTGTAAGGTGGATTAGGCAAACAACGCTTTCTTTTTAGGACATTCTGCAGCCCAGAACATTAGTCAGCACAATTAAACCAGTCTCCATGGAGACTAATGAAATTTCACCATGGTATGAGTTAAATTAGATAGCTAGTTATGTGTTTCCACAATCCAACTTGAAATCCATTATTGTTTCAGAACAATACAGCAATTGTGCCTTGCTGATCTTTGCCAGCTCAACAAGCTCCTAAGTTGACAATTTGCATATGTTAATATAATTAAGCACTAATTACATGAAACTTGTACATATTCACATGCACTTTCCCTGGGCGCTTTTCAGTTTGAACCTTGGCCAAGTCTTTAACCCTTAGAATGGTCTGAGAGGATAGAAACTCTGCCTGTGGGTACAGCCCCTAGGCAGACACAGAAAGGCTCCTCGTTTATAAACACAAAGCTTAACCTGGCTTCTCATATTTCTAGCAACAATGACAGAAAATATTTTGTGAGTGTGGTAGGGACCAGAAATGAGGGAAAAGGGGGAGTGGATTAGTCTTTAAAGACTTATAACGAGTATCTTCTCATAGAAAAGCAATAACATCCATTTCAAGAAAATGTTAAGAATTTGCTCTCACTGACATTGTGGAACCTTGGGAGATGAAAATGGTTTGACCACAGCAAAAAGGGCAAGTAGAAAAGGAAAAGGGAGCATCAGCACCTAATGAGCTTTACATAAATATATGCAGAGGCAATTAAGCAATGTTAATTACTATGACAGCAGTTAATTGAATATAATTAGATATTTTAAGCCACTGAATAAAGCAGAGTTAAGATTAATTTTATTGAGATTAATTGTAAATAAGGATAGATTAACTCTATGTTTTGACAGGCATAAAAAGTAGTTCTGCAAATTAAGCAGGAGCGTGGCCACCAGTCCAAAAATCATATATTATTTTAATGTCACACCTCAGAATCATCCCCTCAATAAACATGACTTTTCAAACCCAAACAGACAGGAATCTTGAAGAAAAACAAACAGCTTGCAGAGATTAAAGAGCCTTTTGTCCTTTTTCATGTGCATTTCTTTTAACAGACTAAATTAAGCGAGTCTGGTGTACGTTTTTTAGGAAGGAACATTTCACACTGAATGGAAAAAATGTTCTATCACATATGAAATTCGTGCAGCTGTGCGGAACTTGGTCCAGATGGTTTTAGACTATAAACCACCACCAAATGATAGACAGTAGGCCTTCCCAAGATTATGTGATAAAGTCACAATCTTTTTTTTTTTTGACCTCCCAAATTTCTGCTTTGTATTATTTCCAATCAAATCTCATATTTTCTTTTACAAATGTGTTTCTCCAAGAGGGTTAAAAGAAACATTGTGCCCACTAAGTACTGGAAATAAATGTACAATGAACTGGAGAAGGCCTCCTTTAACAGTTATCAGCTAAATCATTCAGCCACAAAATGCAATGATAGCTATGACAACAATGTATGCAGATGACAACACTTGATTATTACTCTTACAAACAGTGGTTTCTGGAAATATTTCTTAGGAAAATACTGCTAAGTGAAAATCCCTCCCAAATACTTTCACACCAAGCCAATTCATGCATACTCCTTAAGGAAATTAACACAGTCCTCAAGAATGCTGAACAAATCACTAATAAGAAAGGAACTTCAATTGATTTTGAAATAAATCAATAGGTGATTAACATAATATTTTTAAAGCAGCAGAATGTGTGTGTGTGTTGCATAAACATATATATTATATTTCCAATACCTCTTAGCTACTAATCGAACAAGGGCTTTATGCTATTGAGCATGCCTTTATACTACCACACAACTTCCTTAGGATGCCCTTAGTCTTTATAACGAAAATCCTAAAATGGTCTGTGAAACAAGACTACGACAAGCCATTCTGCAGTGAAAGATTTTAAATCATCCAGCCTCTTCTAATAGACTTGAGACTTATTGAGGTAGAAACCATAAAAAATGAAGAAGGGAAATTTAATCCCTGAAATATTGATTTGCACATTAATATCATATAGGCAGAGGGCAATTTGGCTTCGTGGAAATGACACATTGTCGACCCTTGGTGAAGTCAGAGCCAATCTAACTGCTGAACATGTCTGAATCTCAAGAGTTATTAAGGGCTTCCCTTCTTGCCTTTATGACTTTTCTTCAGCCTACCAATGCAATCTTAAATGTATTATCTTTAAGAAATAATTGTAAAACCTCAGGGGTTTTCCAGTTAATGGAAGGGAGGCCAAACCACATCAGATTCTGAAATGCAACATTAAACCCTTGCAATCAACAAAACCACCCCAATTCTCATCCATCCAGTGGAGGATCTAATATTGTTATTAGAGATAATCAAATTTCATTGTGTAAATTTAGGCTCATGGTCAGAATGAAAGCAGTAAATTCTGCAATATTAAACAGCGATTTTCTCAGCATCCTTTATGCTTTCCTTTGCTGGTGCAGCATCTTTAAAAATAATCCAACTAGCTCAAAATTAATGAACAGATTTGGGCTCATCTACTAAAATCTGCGAAAGAGTACAATAGAGCTGAACATGGTTCCTTCATTTTTAACTTTTAGTGGCAACTTTCACTTCCTAGACCCAGAGCCCAGTCTCCCTGTCTAACCCCACAGTTGGTGCTATTGCTTTGACTTACACAGCTGGTTTACCTGACCTTTCTTTGTTCCTTAGGTACATTTCACTTTTCAGATTTATGGTATTTCCCCCATATTTCATTGGCTCTATCTTCATTGCCATAAAAATGAAAACACTCAAATATGACTTTACTTTTTTTTAATCCAAAAGCAACCGGCTATTGAATAAATACACAGTGATGCTCTCGCCTCAGTTTATGCCATAAATATTAAAACCATTAAAAAATAACTATATAAACCTTATGATCCCCACACTGAAGCCAGGTGCAAGAGGTTAAAACAGCTGGCTAGCCATCTTTTATTTTTGTGTGCCTTCCTGCTGATTGAAACCGCAAACGTTGAAAACTATCAAATATTCCCTTAAGGATTTTCTCTTTTTAAGACCAGGAAGGAAAAAAGAAAACCTTCATTTTCTGTAATATGCTCCTCTGTGGAGAAGAAAAACTCTAAAACACAATCAGTCACAGAGGTGGTGAAATAATTCCAAATATCTCCTTTCTGTTGTATTTAAACCATCATTTCCAACAACTTCTATGCACAATTGTTTTTTATTCTTCAGTTAGAAAAGAGAAAAGAGGGGAAAAAAGAAAGAAAGAAAGAAAGTCTGAGCTTGCTCTGTCAGTTTTGCCAGTAAATATAAAGTAAAACAAATGTTGATGGCACCGAGAGTGTTACATACCCGGGCTGTGTTTTTGCATTGCTCTCAATGGAAGCGATCGATGCCCGTGTCACTGTCGCGTCCCAATCGCAGCCAAGTCTCAGCCTTAATCTAAGCAACACCCGAAAAGGCAGCGGCAGCCGCAGCCTCTCCCTGACTCTTCCATCCATCCACCCAACTAAAAATATAATACTACATATGAGCTTTAACCACTCCACGTTTATAGGGATCAAGCCACTGAAAATCCAGGAGAACACAATAAA